GTGGTGCCCATAATATTCCTTGGGCGCCGCCGGCTAGTGTTTGTCCTGCCCAGTGGCGGCAGTTTCAGGGAGGGGGGGGGGGGGGTGCAAAACACATGCGGTGCCCGCCCCCTTGCTCCCCGGTTGATACGCCCATGTTCGACGATCACGACCTTAACGCACGACTTTACCGAAAATTAAAATCTCACCACACGTTTTTTCTACGATTACTGAAGATGATGCTTTTTTTTTTTTTTCGCAGCGGTATAGCAGCGTATAAGTATGATTTCGTGATCACATAGACGTAGCGAGCGTTCGGGAATGCTGACACTACTCACTTTTCTTGGGTGATGAAGACGCGTGTTAATTTGCGTTCTTCACACACGCGCTTAAATACAGTACGCTCCAGTGATACCTTGAACTTGAGGACACGCATGAAGTGAGCAAACTGAGAAATCCGGACGATGTTCGGGTACACAAATACTAAAAAAAAGTACCCCTACATTCGAGGAAATTAACAAGCACGACGGCACGAACGTTTCTGCCTCATGGGGGTGCCTCCACGACATTGCCGCACCTGTGGATGGATCTTCCCTTCTAGGACGTGCTTGTTTATCATAACGTTACACGACGACCTTTCACAGTCAAGGATAGCGCTCTGCGCGGGACGATGAGCTTCCTCCACGCCGACCACGTCGCCAATCACGCACCGAAGCCATGTTTTTCAGCAGATAGCAGGAATGCGCCATGACCGGCATGCAACGCGAGCGGCCGAGCTCTCCTCGACCTATGATTGGTCTCTCGGTGTGGTCCCTTCGTTCGTTCGAACATGTAACGAAAAAGTTAAGCCTGACTCAAGTCCTTTCGTTGCGAACGAACAAGAACGAAACGACGGTTTGGCGCTACCCATGCCACGGCAACTCCTCGTTCCAACCGGTTGCATTCGGTCGTAAGCGTAACGGTCGCTCTGAGCGGAAGTGTATAGGCCTGTTCACACATGCAGCGGAGCGCTACAAGCATAGCGCTGACCTCGTGCTAAGCACGTGCCGACGGGAGCGTTCACCAGCTTTGTATCGCACCGCCAAAACTGTTGCTCATGGCAGACGATAAGTAGCTGACGGCACGTGAGGACCGCTACATCAGCGCTTCGCTGCATGTGAGAACCGGCCTTATGAACAGTATTTTAAGATCTAAAAGGCTGCCATTGAGTCCGTCTACATATGGCATCTGCAAAAAAAAAAAAAAAAAAAGAGGGTGGACATTACCACGATTTGGGCTGTAATCGGCGGATGTTTGCCGAAGTCGGTTCGCAGAGGGGGTGGCAGGACGAATTGCTTCGAAGCGGCAGTGGTTCCCTCCCCACCCCAGGACCAGCCACCTGCAGCCCAGTCCTGTTGTCGTTTTATTTGTTCAATGAACATTAAAAAAAAAAATTGTTCATTGGTTATGAATAGGGTTCCGCGTTTTCGGTTTCTATTTTTTCAAAATTCGGCATACTTTTTTCGGTGTTTATTTAAAATTAAATTTTCTGTTTTTTCGGCGTATATTTATGCCCACAAAAGTTTATCGGTTTTTTTCGGTGAATATAAAATAAACACCAACAGGCACGGGCCAGATGATTCTTATATATCTGGTATTTGTGATCGCTCAAAGAATAACGGCAGAGATACATTGAAAAAGAAATGGACACTTTATTTGGCAAATGTGTGGAACTGTAAAAAAAGGAAGAAAAAAAAACAGTAGTACAAACAAGTCAGATATGAAGCCTTTGTCCAAAAAAACATGGAACTTCACCTTCTGTACATCAGGAAGGATTTACGTGATCATATTATAGTGCACACACATGTACTTTCCCAGGTTTTGCTCGTTGATCCGCACTCTTTTTTTTTTCCTGTTAATATCACCCTGAGCTTCGAGAATGCCCTCTGAACGCTAACACTGGACACTGGCAGGCTGAGGAGATGAAGCGCTGCCTGAGTCAATATCGGCCAATCACCAATTGTGACCGCCAAAAAAGACACGGTGCGACGTTTTGAAGCACACCACACCATGCAGAGCTTGCATCAAGTCAGTCTTCCTTACAACGAGTTTGAAAACACGCTCGTACATGGCAAAGTCATGCGGCATTTTGGACTTCACGTTCCGATCGATGATGCGCACAGTAAACCAAAACGTCGTGATGGCATCCGTGTATCCCATACATTGGGTACGTTTGGATAGACATTATCGTCACACCCTTTCGTCACGGCTCTTCGTTACTACGGGAAGACCAAGGTAACCTTTTCCGGCTAAAACTGAATTAAAAAAATGAATTCGGCGTACTTTTATCGTTTTTTATCGGTTTAAAATAAAAATTCCGAACATAAAACTGGCCTTTTTCGGTTAAAACCGAATTTCCGAAAATGGATTCGGCGTACTATTATTGGTTTTCATTGATTTAAACCGAAAACTCCGAACCCTAGTTATGAATTGTATTCGCGTGCAGCCCAGTCCTGTTGTCGTTTTATTTCTTCAATGACCATTAAAAAAAAAGTGTTCATTGGTTATGAATTGTATTCGCGTGCCAAATAAAACTGTGCATGGAAAATTGCTTTTGTTCATTGCATATTTTCCGTATACTAAGCACTGAAGAAGAGCTGGGATTGTTAGAGCTAGGGCGCCTTCATGTGCGCTTTGCTTAGGGTGGAGACATCTGGCCATTTTGTTCCCACTTTTGCATTTATTTCTTGTTCAGAAGCGCATGAAAGAGCGTGTCCCTGCACGCGTCTGTGGCGCTGACTGTGCTATGGCGACATTTTGTTTTCTTCGATTTCTTTGTATTTTCCCCGTCAGCGCGTGCTGTCGGCATCGGGTACTATACAAAGGGTGGCATCACTCTAAACGGAAGGTCATTGAGGCACCCTACACACTAAACATTTTTACACCCTTATTGGTGTAAATGGCATGGGTCACAACTCACCCCCTTATTGGTGTTCAAAAACGCCCTAAAAAGGCGTTATTCCTCACACCCTCAAAAACCGGTGTGATTTTTCACACCCTTCACAGAAAGGTGTGATTCTGCTCTACACCATTTCATTAGGGCGTGATGGCAGCAACTAGTACACCCTTCCAAAAGGGTGTACTGCAGCCAGAAGAGCATGGTGAAAAAAACAACAGATTAGTGACAGAAAATTGGGACACCACACTATCTCAAAATTTTTTGAGACATGTTTTGTTGTCCCGATTCTTTGTCCCTAGTCTCGGTTTTTTTTCGCCATGATCCTTCACCAGCTCGCATGCGCAGTAACTCTCACTTCATTGAAATAGAAGAGGTAATAGAAAATGTGTAACACACCCACAGGGCGCAGGTCCCCGCAGCACTTCATGAAAACGTATTTACGGAGAAATGATTGCTAACTAACATGGGCACCACTTTATTTTCTCAAATTGAAAAAAAAAACAAAAAAAAACATGCGTGGATCGTTTTCTCTTTTGTTGCGAATTCGCGACAAACCAATGTCAGACCTCAAACGCGAGCATTTGTGACCTAATGTTAAGTTTTCAGGACAAAGCTACAACATTCTTAGAATGCAGTCAAACTTTTAGTAAGGCTTTCCTTCGCCTAAAGCTACTTTAAGGCTTTCTAGCTCTGGTGACGTAAGCAAAACTCGACAGGCTGGCAAAGACGGAACGTCCGGGAGTTGCTTGGGGCATAAGCGGCAGTTCATGTTTGTAAACAGTAAAATTGTCTATTGAGACGGAAGCAGGACTACTACCAGAAGCATGCTTGCAGAGTACTTACAAATGAAACACCGATCTCATGTAATCCGTGATAGACGTATAATCCGATTCGGGTAGCACAGAACAATTCACGAACACAACGTCGGTGATGAAACGGTCGCTCACATCCGACGGAAGTCTCGCGGTCGCCGATGAGCAGCTCTCTGTCGTGATAGATGCACAATCCGAATCGGGTAGCACAAAACAACGCAAACACTATGTCGAGGTTGAAGGCGGTCGATCATATTCAGCGGAAGTCTCGCGACCGCCGATGAGCAGCTCTTTGTCGAAACGCGTCCAACAAACACGGCACAATAATTCCATGGACTCCGACGAAATAAACGACCATTACCAAAAAGTTAGTATCGACGTATTCCGGCCGTTCAGGACGAAAAATCACCGCTGCGACTGCAACGCACGAAACACAGGAGAAGACTGAAGGCCCGTTCACATACCTGCGTTCGGAACGACCACTATGCTTACGAACGAATGCAACCGCTGCGACTTCAACGACAACTGTGCACGACGTGTACACACACTTGCAACCGCATACAACCAGACGGATCAACAGCCAATAAGAAACGAGCTTCAGTTCTTGCTCTTAGCCAATAGTGAGCAACCCAACAATATACGCTTACAAACATGGCGGACGGTTTCGTTCCCGACGTGAGGTCCTCACCGGAGCAGCCGGAGGTTTCGGCTACGGCGTACAGCCACGAAGATTTGCTGTACGCCTACAATAGCTGCGTAAGGGCCTATGTTGCCCGTGCAGGCAGCAGCATTGACTGGGCACTAGTCGCGCGGCCATCCGCTGCGATGTTGCTCTTGAGCCGCCAAAGACGCCCCCGCCGAGAATGGGTTCGGTTCATCCTTCGTTCGCGGGAGAACCTCGGCGAGTACCGCCACCTAGTCCGCGATATGGGGCTGGACGACGGACGAGATTTCTTCATGTACTTCAGGATGACGCGGGAAAGGTGTGTATTGCACCTCACTTTTTCCAATGCTAAATGCATATCAAATAGCTCGAAGGCCCGCCAACGTGTAGGAGGCGCTTGTTTAGGGCAGGCACAGTCTGATTACTTCGCTCGCTCGCTGCCATTGGAACTGCCGAGTCCTCGTAAAATAACGCGCAGAGATAACATAAAAAAAGAACGAGGCAAAGAGCGTCGTTTCCATGGTGCGCGCATTTTTAAAAGTTTACCTTATAGCCCGAACCGAAGCAGCTAGAAATGGAGACGGCCTGTAAACTGTTTCCTCTGCAGGTTTGAACACCTACTGTCCCTTGTTGGGCCACTCCTGCTGAAGCAAGCCACCTTCTCGAGAACGCCGATCGCTCCAGCGGAGAGGCCGTCCTTCACAATCAGGTGAGTTGAATAACTTCATTCTTTTCTGCTCTCTTTCAAACTGCTGGGTCACTCACCATTTAATGTGTACTCAGTTTTTAAGTTTGTTTTCATTTAACCAGTCGGCTCTAGAAGTTGAGATGATCATGTGTTACTGTCTCTGAGTCTGTTTCCCTCATTTCACTATTTTAGGTACCTGGCTAACGGAGCCTCTCAGGCAATATGCACGACCAGTTACCGGATCGGCCGGTTGACGACCTCCGGGATAATCAGGGACACGTGCCAGGCCCTCCACAAGGTGCTAGACCCACTCTACCGCCCTGTGAGTAGACATGCTCAAGAAAATGTTAATCCTTATGTGACGTCATGACAAGCACTTTTCGCATCGAATACAGATGTCTAATACCATCTTCGATCAGCACATACCGGAATTGCCCTGAAACCGAGACAGTCCTCAGCGCTCGGTCGTGCAGCGCGTAGTCGGTGCAACATTATTAGGGAGTTTTAGTAGACCGTGTTTCCCGCTCCGCTAGCCCTCCGCTACGAAGAAACCGCCACTGCGCCTGCGCGCCGATGGCCTTGGCTGTAGAGTTCCGGGTAGCGGAGGGGCTCAGCTGAGCGGGAAACACGGTCTACTAAAACTCGCGACAAACTGCGCCGTATACCGGTGGACCGCGGCGAGCACCACTATGCGTCACTTCGCGCTGTTTGTTTGTTTTTCTTCTGTACGTCTGCAGGCAGTGCCTGTCTGCTGTCAATTTCTCCTGGCTTTTTACTCGCGGCTTTAGCATTTTTACACAAATGGGCATTGTGGACGTGATTGTCTATAGGGTCATGAAACAAGTAACAATTCCACAGGTATATTTTGCCCATTATTGTTGGTAATTGTACCACCAGACAATAGCCATACCTCGGTGTTATCCTAATGCTTCACAAAGCTTTCCACGAAGTTCGTAACTTTCGGGCGCTCCTTGCCACTGCAGCAATCACCGGTAATCGCAGAGATGGTAAGAAGCTCGTCGGTCTTTACTGTCAGAAGGGTTGGGAAATTCATAGAGTACCGCTGTTAGGTGTGTTTGCTTTCACAAAATCGCCATCTGCTATTCCCGCCATCTCCTTGTTTCCCGGTCCTGGCTGCAAAGCCTGATGGGGCTGCACCCCGGTGCACTGTTGATTTTTTTTTGGTGCGCTTTGGGGCAACAAAAAGCCGCATCGGGAGAGTGCGCTCCGTTGATCGAGTATGTCCGGTGCGCACCGGTGCACTTGATCGAAGACAAGGCGCACCTCAGCGCCCCGGTGCACACCGCTGCGGATGATCGAGGAAGCTCTGAACGTTTAAATTACCTGGCTGGTAAATCAATGTACCTACTAAATTCAGGTTTCTTCTAAGCCTATCCTTCCGAATCATCAGATGCTACATCCTTTCTTCTTTGCTCGTGTGGAACAGTTCAGTTGTTACTGAATTCTGGCTATAATGAGCGTTGTGTGCTATGGTGGCATTTAAATAAAATTACCCAAGAGCATTTTTTGACTGGCTTTCAGGCCCCCAACACTGGCCAGTGGGAGCGGCTCGCAGCGGAGTTCGGCAGGCTGTGGAACTTCCCGAACTGTGTCGGAGCCCTGGATGGCAAGCACGTGGCCGTCCAAGCTCTACCTGGTAAAGGCTCCGACACATTCAACTGCAAGGGGTTCCACAGCATTGTCCTCTTCGCAAGCTGCGACGCCAGCTACAAGTTCACGCTGGTGGACGTTGGGCAGCCAGGGCGGTTTAGTGACGGGGGCATCTTTCGAGACTCCGAAATGGGACAGTCTCCGCTGTCGGGAGGACTTGGTCTCCCGCCAGCTGGGCGGCTACCCCATACATCAGCCAAGCTGCCTTTTGTCTTTGTGGCAGACGAGGCGTTCCCCCTGCTGACTAACCTCATGCGCCCTTACCCCAGGAAGGACTCGCAGCTGATGCAGAAAGTGTTCAACTACAGGCTATCCAGAACCAGGAGGATAATTGAGAACACTTTCGGCATCCTAGTGGCACGCAGTGTTGTACGGAACGGCGTTCCAAGGAACGACGTTCCTGGAACGCGTTCCTTTTAGGAGGAACGAAGGAACGCCTCCGTTCCATTTTGAATCAGTGGAACTAGAACGGGAACTCGTTGCATTTTTAGTGGAACAAAAAAAGGAGCGGCGTTCCTTCTTTTCGTCCAGTGGGATAATTTTTGTTTTATTTCTAAGAGGGAAATTCTAAAAACCATATCTTTAAGAAGAGCGGGATCTCGTTAACTTTTTGGTTACTTGTATTAAGGTTTATTTTGTGTGGTCCTCGCTTGGTAACAGTCGGGTGCAGGAGAGCTAGTGGACATCGATTCTTTTTTCATTACCCGAGACTGCGGTAGAAAAAGCAAAACTATCAGTCGAAGGAAGAGACACAGAACGAGGGTCGTTTCAAACTCTACTTTCTTTTTTTTCCCACGAATCCTAGTACGCCTAGAAATCTAAGGCCCACTAAAGCCATCACTGAACCTCCACAAGGAGACCTACAGTTACAACAAACGGACAGGTTTCCAGACATGGAACACACACTTGTATCACGAACGATGGTCACTTGAAGATACACAAAAAATGACCTTTATTCCTTCACCCCTTGTCCCCTACTTTCGATCTGAACAACGAATCCGACCTTCACCAAGAAGAATTTGCAGTTTTCAAGACTGACCTTCCAAAAGCCCTATCCTCTTCTTCACTTGCTCGTCTTGAGGACAGCAACAGCGAGAAGCAACTGCTGTTAGGTTCGAACAAGGGACTTGTTAGACTGAAACGTGTGAGGTTGTTGTAAAACCCTCGTGCAATGTGGGGTAACAGTACATTTGTCTCGTCTGAATCGTCCACCACAAAAATGAATAAGGTTCAAAGCTGAGATTTTTAAAGGTTAATATATCAACAAATGAAACCCTGCTTACTCTTGTTTTCTTCTCCTGGTGCCCTACCATCATGGCATTCAAATTCGTATCTTTACATAAAATAAAATAGACGAAAAAAAAAACTTTCTTCGATTTAGCAAAATATGGTAGTCAGCAAAATACAAATGTAACGTATATGTAACGATACGTTCCATTTTTTTTAAAAGTGACGGGAACGAGTTCGTTTTTCACAGATGGAACTTGTAACGGGAACGCGTTCCAAGAATCAGAAGGAACGAGGAACGATCTTTCGTTCCTTTTTTGAGGAACGTGTACAACACTGGTGGCACGTTGGCGCATTTTCAGACAAACAATCCAGGCGTCTGAGGAGACTCTGGAGGCCATTGTCTGGGCGTGCGTCAACCTGCATAACTACCTGAGGGTGTGTGACGAGAGCGAGCAGGGGGAGCGTCGCTACTGCCCCGTCGGTTACGCAGACCAGGAAGCTGCATCTGGCGCTGTAACCGGCGGTCAGTGGAGGAGTGATGCTGCTGGCACTACTGCGCTGTCGGATGTAGGCCGTGTCAGCTCAAACAACGCCTCCGACACTAACAAAGCAGTGAGAGACAAGTTCATGAGATACTTCTGTTCCTCGCAGGGCGAGGTACCATGGCAGTACAATGTAGTGTTCAAAGGTTCTGCTCTTGAAAGCTGAGTTCTTTTTGTGCAAGCGTATGTAAGCTTCTGAATTGTTTTCTTTATTGTGTTCTTTACTATCTGAATAGGCAACTCCGTTTCATCTTTTTTTTCTTTTCTTTTCAACAATGCAGTCCTCTTCAGCATCACCCAGGAAGACTGCACGTCGAATATTACGACATAGTTGCGTCTTGATGTTTCCTAAATGGTCCGGCAAACTTTGAAACTCGCCAAGTTGCCGAAATCGGCCGATTTGAGCGAGCAAATTGAGGTGCAACCAACAGACCAGTCAAGGAAGGCTAATGCGTGGGCATAGCCAACATTGAGCTAAATGTCATCACAATTTCCCCTTTTGCTTGTTTTTAGTTCTCTGTGCAAATGTAGCAGTTGACGTGAGCAACGTTTCCTCTCGGCGCTCAGCGGTGTCCAGATGATTGGAGCAACGCGCCTGCGCAGCGCGCTTCTTGGGAGCCGTACGGTCGCCCTGCCATTATTACCGTCGTCGTCTCACCGTTTGTGATTATTGCCTCTCGAGGTTTCGTCCGCACTTCGGACATTATGTGCGCAGACTTATGCCGCAGTTGTGCAGACGTCGTCGAATGTCGTAGACACCAAAACGCGGTGAAGAGTGCGGTGCAGACTACACTTGCTCCTGGCACATGCCCGCCCCAATCCCGCCTGTTGTTGCGTAGAGGATCATGTGACATCTCGTACCACGTTATAGCCATGTTCTTGGCGGCCAAAGGCCAATGTTGCCAGACGGAGCAGAATTTTCGTTTTAGATTTCTGCTCGTATGTAACATATTGAAAAATATATATTCCATTTTTCGGGACACAAATAACGTAGTCTTTTCCTACGACAAGTAATGCAAAATCACTCATTAATCCGAAATATTCAAAATTGAATGGAGTTGCCCTTTAATTAAACTGGTCTGGTCATTGTTCACTACAAAGAAATGAAGATAGTTAAGTGATCCAATGTGCCTTTCTACCCAAGCCTTGTCAGGTGGAAGAAAGTGGAAACGAAATGAGTAAATGTTCCACTAACAGGTAAACAGCACGGAAAAAATATACTATCTTCATGACTCTGCGGTGTGTATATATTTAACCTTCCTTCAACATGTCACCATTCTCCCCTGCGGGTCTGGAATTCATCTCCTACTCTGCTTTAGACCATGTTTTTCTTTTCCCCTCATGACCGTTTCGGTTTTGAATGAAAGATATTCTTCCAATTGTCCATACATTTTTGTCTCTAGCCATTTAAACTAACTTTTTTAGAGCAACTGAGGGCTGTGACAAGTGTTACTTCTTGTTGCCACTTCAAATTTTATTGCAATTTTATTTTAACTGTATTGCTGTTCTTATGTTGCTCGGCATTTTAGTCAAGTAACATGTTGCTGGCGTATTTTTATAGCATGGCAAATGTGCTCTGTGTGTTGCTCTGAACTGTACAGGGGGTGGGGGCCCCTGTCATGCAGCAATATCTTTTGCCCCTGCCTCCCTACCCGGTAATGCCGGTGAAAATCCAAATAAATAATGAATGAATGAATGCTGAGGCGAGTACTGGACTGGATGTTTATTCATCATGATCATTTAACATTTTCATGAAACACAGCCAACTCAAGTGTGTGTGCAACAAACATTGTTCACAAAAATCTAAGAAGGAATGTAAAAAGGATACCTAAGGCAAGTATGAGAAAAAAAGAAAATTAAACCCTGCAGCGTATGCATGAAGTACATTGCTCATAGAAATATCAGAAGCAATATAAAAAGGCTGCCGAAAATAGGTATGACAAAAAGCAAAATAACCCCTAACCTCCCTCCCTCCCCCTCCTCCTTCTTCTTCCTTCCTCCCTCCTCCCCCCCCCCTTCCCCCTTCCCCCTCCCCCCCCCCCCCCCCCCCAAACACAACTTCCAGTCTCCAAGTGGCCTCGAGGAACAGTATAGAAAACAAAGAAATGCAAAGTCTTTAGAAAGGTAACAAAGTGTGACGAGTTCGGGAACTAGATGATTTTCTTGGGTAGTGTTACAAATGGGGACTGTTCTTGAAAAATAACAAACTTGCCAGCCTACCTCTGTTTGAAGTAATTGTGCTGTGCTAGAGCTTGTAATCCATTTCACCTTATGACTGACTGCAGTGGATGGTACGAGCCATTGCAGCCAATCCAGTGCTGTGAATGCTTCACCTGGCTACACAGCCCACACATCGCTGCACCTTTCCCAAAGGTCACGCACTACATTGGATTGCCTCCCATGGCTCATAGCATTTGCTGCAGTACACCATAAGGGGAAACGGAGTATAGCCGGTCATCTGGCGTCCCAGCTGTAGATGAGAAATTTAGTCAGTGAAGTGCCACTGGTTGCCTAGGGCCTAAAGAACATCACAAAGTAGTGATGGACAATTCCTATTCGGAAGTTGAAGATTGAGAACTACTCACTGTCTCAGCTCTGCAGTGCAGTTCGTATAAAAGCGAGTTAACTTTAAACTTTGCTTCATTCCAGAGGCAGGCTGGCAAGTTTCTTATCTCATTTCCTACGTGAATCCTATAAATCCTAAAAGGATCGTTACTGTCTGGGTTTTCGGCCCGAATCGCCATTTGCCTTGTCGACTCCTCGACTGTGCGACGAAGAGACCCCTTTCCTCCTGGGAGTTGGCCCGCCCCACCTTCCTTGCCCGCTTCTTGGACGGCGGCTGATCAGCTGCCTGGGCAGGCGATGCGTGCTGCTCCACTGGAGCATGCTGTGAAGCTGGTGGCCGAGCTGGCACCAGCTGCACAGGGGTGGGCAGCTCACGGTTTTGCTCCAGCTGCAGCAGCACCTCACAGGTCTCTGAGGGTTCGAAGTCCTCCAGCATGGAGTCCTAGGAAAAGAATTTGTTCGGAACATTTCGTTTTTAAGAATTTAAATGTAATTTATTTATAGCTATGTTCAAAATATCTAATTATGACAGCTGCAAGGCAAAGTTGCAGCTAGTTTCTTCAACATTATCAAAACCGGAGAAAGCAGTTGCAACACCAGCACACACAGCAATCTATTCAAATGGGGTGGTGTAAGTAGAAGACAGGACACTTGGTCCGCACAGCACTATACTCATTTCCACCCCAAGAAGAAAGGAATTTTTGCGCATTGTTCATACGTCGGACAAAGAAGTTCTCACAAAATTTGATCGTCAGAGTCCTTTGATGTTAGAAACATGTACGTCCTGATAAAATAGCATATATCTAATCTAAAATGCCCCTACATATCCCTTACTTCTCTACATAAAAGGGGAAATTTGCAATGCTCTGCAAGGAGCGAAACGTTTTTTTACTACAGTTCTTTATGTGAAAACAGGTATAGTACATACTAAAGGTATTGCTGAATGCTTTAGGAATGTGCATCATAAATTATATGTCTGACAGACAGAATCATGTTTT